CATCAATGATGTGGCCTCCTATATGACCCGTTCTGGAGACAGAGCTCACAAAACTGGGCATGTGCTCTGACCGGGAATCGAACCATGAGTGTCACCGGCCAGATTTCTTTTTTTAAATCAGTAAACAGGGGCAGATTGCAGTCAGACTGAGATATATATAGTAAAATGTGTAACCTTATTTCCTTGGAATTAAAAGGAACATTTTCAAAAACAGATATATCTTTGGTTTTGTGCCTCTGCAGTTGGTTTTTGGAGCATTTGTGTCTTCCTACATTTAAATAGTAGGAGCTAAGATTTATTGAACACTTCATAAATTAATATACTATTAAGTGATTTATGTATATCATGTAAGAAGTATACTTTCAAAAGCCCTGTTTTCCTGATATAAGAACATGATGATTTAAGACAAGTAAATTCAATTTGGGCAAGGTCTCCCGGGCACCTAGGGGTGTGTGTGTGTGTGTGTGTGTGTGTGTGTGTGTGTGTGAGAGAGAGAGAGATTTTGTAGGCATTTTTTAGAACGTGTGTGTTTTTTTTTTTTTTTTTTTTTTTTTTCAGTTTCTTAAATACTGGAAAAAATTCCATCTGACAATGTGCGCAAAATAAAGGTGATACATTACAAAGTAAACTGAATGCATTATTTTTAAAATAACCCAAAATATTATTTCTACTAAGTTATTTATTTTACTGTCTACCTTTTCTAATGAACATCTTTCCCCCATTAACCAAATTTAGGGATTCTGTTTCATGTTTTTCATTGAAAGTGAGTCACGTCCTTTTTCTTTTTGGCACATGTATCTATCTGAATTTAGTTTAGTGAACTTTATTGGGAAGAGCCTTAATATTTTCAGGAGATAAACTATTTTGTGTTCTATGTCTAATGGAAGAGTAACAGAAACCAAACCTTTCTTATAGTTGTACCAAACATTCATTTTTGGATTTATCTGGTTTTTTCTTATGCCTCCTTTCAAAGACCTACCTCAAATTAAATGTTCCCACGTTCATGCTTATTTCCCTGGCATGCATTTTATTCTATCCTCATTGTACTGATACATTATCTTTTATTACTGTAATTATTTACATGTTTGTCTTCTTGGGTAGTAAGTTTTTCCAGCAGATAATAGGCTCTACTATTTATTTGAAAATACTAAATGTATGTAAAAACACGTTTTAGTGTAGTTGTCAATATTACAATGTTAAAATTTCCAATTGATTCTGTTATTTTAAAGTAAATAATATATTATCCTGTTCAAGTAAGGAAGTGTTGTATGACATTTTAGTGCCATCTCTTGGGCATTTGATAAAATGACTTTAAAGGCTTCTGAAAATGTCTATGAATGAAAACTAATTTTGCCAACATTGCTGTGCAACCATAATGTACCTTTTCCCCCTGAAAGCAGTAATGATAATCACCCACACATAAATTGTTCATAATTGACTGCAGTTTTAATTATCTTCCTAAAGAAAATTAGCCAAACATTTAGTGTAAATGTTGTTAAATGGGAAGCTTAAATAGATACTAAAGTTTTTTTATTTAATAAATCTTTGTTATTTAAATTATTACAATTGTTCCTCTTTTTCCCCCTCATAGCTCCCCTCCACCTGGTTTCCTTACCTCCCCTCTCCCCCTCCTGTCCTCATTCATAGGTGTATGATTTTTGTCCAGTCTCTTATTGTACCCCTCACACCCCTTTTACCCTGAGAATTGTAAGTCCCACACCCCTTACTATGCCCTTGATTCTATTATAGTCACCAGTTTATTCTGTTCATCAGATTTTTTATTCACTTGATTTTTAGAGTCACTTGTTGATAGCTATGTATTTGTTGTTCATAATTTTTATCTTTTTATTCTTCCTCTTCTTAAAAAATATCTTTCAGCATTTCATATAATATTGGTTTGATGGTGATGAACTCCTTTAGCTTTTTCTTATCTGTGAAGCTCTTTATCTGACTTCAATTCTGAATGATAGCTTTGCTGGGTAGAGTAATCTTGGTTGTAGGTTCTTGCTATTTATCATTCTTCATATTTCTTGGCACTCCCATCTGGCCTGCATAGTTTCTGTTGAGAAATCAGCTGACAATCTTTTGGGTGCTCCCTTGTAGGTAACTTTTTTTCTCTTGCTGCTTTTAATATTCTCTTTGTATTTTACTCTTGGTGTGGTCCTCTTTGGATTCCTCTTGTTTGGGTTCTGTGTGCTTCCTGGACTTGTAAGTCTATTTCTTTCACCAGGTGGGGGAAATTTTCTGGCATATTTCTTCAAATAGGTTTTCAATATCTTGCTCTCTCTCTTCTTCTGGCACTCCCATAATTCTGATGTTGATATGCTTGAAATTGTCCCAGAGGCTTCTTACACTATCCTCAACTTTTTGGATTCTTTTTTTTTTTTTTTTGCTTTTCCAGTTAAGTGTTTTTTTTGCTTCTTTATATTTCAGATCTTTGACTTGTTTCTTGTAGTCATCTAGTCTGCTGTTAGGTCTCTGTATAATATTTTTTATTTCAGTCAGTGTATGTTTAATTTCTAGTTGGTCCTTTTTCATATCCTCCAGGGTCTCGCTAAATTTATCGGCCTTTTCTAGGAAATTCTTGAAAAACCTTATAACTGGTATTGAACTTTATATCCAGACCTTTGCTTTACTTCTTTTCTTTCATTTGTGATCTGTTTCTTTTCTTCTTTTTTTTTTGACAAATAAAAAGTAACTATTTCATGATCTTACCATGAAATGCCTAAAAGAATAATTACAAAATAATGCAGCTTGTTTTTTTTACACTCTTGGTATCATCCCACCATGTCGATCCTTTCACAGAAAGGATTCTTTACAATTTGTGCAGATAGAAAGCTCACTGTTGCAAATACAAATGCAGAAGCAGTGCATACCAAATCGGTACACAAACTCAGCAATGGACATTAACAAATGCAGAATAAATAACAGCTTTATACTTTTTTTGTTTTGTTTTTTAAACAATTTCCAAATACAAAAATGTAGGTATTCAAAATGGATTTCCATATACACATATATATAATTCTGCTGCAAACAGTGGTTCACAAAACAAAAGTGTCCTCAGCATATTTCATTCTTGAAAACCCACAAGGCGATGCATCAATTCAGTTAGAAAGGTGTGCAAAACCACCAACTGTGCTGGCAGAACCCTGAAGACGTGGCTCAGCTGGAAGCTGAGAGAAAATAAAGTAAAAAGCGCTATCTAGTAAATACATTTATGTTTTTTGTTTGTTTTTTTTCTTGATGTGATCTGTTTCTTTGTCTCCGCATTTTCGCTTCTTCCCTGTGTTGATAGAGTGGCTTTGTGTGATAGGTGTCCTATAGGGCCTAATGTATCAACCTCCCCAGTTACCTGAGGTAGACACTCTTGATGCACCCCTTTGTGGGCTGTGCGCACAGCTTTGTTGTAGTTAAGCCTTGATTGTTGTTGGTATCACTGGGAGGAATTGACCTCCAGGCCAATTGGCTGTGAAGATCAGCTGTGTCTACGCCTGGAGAACTTCTGTGTTGGATACAGCCTTATGAGATAAGACTTGCAAAATTGCAAAAGCTTCTGTGCCCAACTGGATAGGGCGGAGTCTCAGGGCTGAGCAGACAGTCTTAGCTTCCCGTCAGCCCTGCCCTATGAGGCCCCTGGGTCTCAGTAACCCTCAGTAATTGCTGCAAGCACCTTTGAGAGAAAGTCGCCCTTGAGTTTCACCTGCTGCCTGACAGTCCAGTTTCTCCCTGATTGAGTCTGAGTTCCCAAAGTCTCCCCTGGAACTGGCGTTCAGCAAATTCGGGAGCTTCCGTCTCCCACTTGAGCAAGGATCCACACACTCAATTGCCCGCCCTCTCCGCATGCCCATCTCTATACCTCAGCCTTTTACAGCTCCTTTGAGTTTCAATGTGTTTATCTCTTTCCTTCTAGTTGTAGATTTTCTACTCAGCCAGCTTTCCTGTGGTTCTGGATGGCGGTGTCCGTTTTGTCTTTTAGTTGTAGTTTTGAAATTGTGCGAGTTAGCATTTTAGGTGTTTACCTATGCCACCATCTTGGTTTCACCCGATATTAATTTTTTAAAGCTTATTTTAATTTAAAAGAAAGTATTAGCTTTTGATGTATGAAAGAATTTTACTTTGAGGAAATACATTATCTGTTTAAATATTTACCAGTTAAGGATTTAAAATTCTTAACACGAGATGCTTTTTTGTTTATTTTTTGTTAATAGATAACCTTTTAATTACAGTATCACTATGAGACATTTATTGAGGAAATAACAGGTGTTGGTGGTGATGTGTGTGTTTAAGATTGGAGAGTAGTGATCTAGAAGAAGGGCTGAGGTTAAGGTATATTGCAATACTCTGAAATCATGTAATATACTTAAGATGTATCTACTGTGTTTCCCTAAAAATAAGACATCCTCCGAAAATAAGACCTAGTGCATGGAAGGATAAGACATCCCCTGAAAATAAGACCTAGCGCAACTTTGGGAGAAAAAATTAATATAAGACACTGTCTTATTTTCGGGAAAACAGGGTATCTATATACACAAGCCTAAGCAACTGTTAATACAATGGGATAGCCAGCCAAGTAGCCATGATATGCTCTGACCAGTAGGGGATAGGTGCTTAATGCAGGAGCTGCCCCCTGGTGGTCAGGTGTGTTCCCTCGGCCAACCTCCCAGGAAACTCCACCCAATTGAATGATTGAGTAAAAAATTTTGAGTTGAAACAAATTTTTTTCTCTCAGTTTTTAAACTTCCTGTTAATTTTGGATATTCTGTATTGCTTTTTAAGACAAGGAACGGAAAATTGTTTTCTGTTTTTGTTTTTGGGGTTTTTTTTGTAAACAAAATGGTGTGCCTATTGTTTTGCCTGTTTTTAAATGACTCATTCATTCCCCTATTGTAGCATTTTATTTTATAGCTTATCACATGCTTGATTAGATAAAAAGTGAGTCTGATAATGTTTCTAATTTTCTTAATAATTATCTCAAATTATAAAATTATATTCTTTTGCAGTATCCCTTTTACTATTCAGCGGCTATGTGAATTGCTAACAGATCCAAGGAGAAATTACACAGGAACAGACAAATTTCTCAGAGGAGTAGAGAAGGTATATATTTTGTTATTGAAATTATATTAAACTGTAACATAATAGATTTTAGAAAAACGCGTTAAGAATTGTTGTAGTCACCTTTTCTTGAAATAAGTTTCTCAACCTACTTGAAATTTTTCCCAAATTATTGTTTGAATTGTCAGAGTTTTGGAGAGAGTTAATAGAGAGGCAGAGGAAGGCTTATTATGACCAATTAAGTTTAGGAAAGCAACTTAGGAATTCTCTCCTGGATATTCATACTATACATCAGTATATTTAATGTTCTGTGAAGTTCTATAATTGATACTTTAACTTTAATAGAGTATTTTGCAAACTTCTTAATCCATGGAATTCATTTATTTCAGTTCTGTAATTCAAATGTACACAACTCTGGAAAAATCACTGATACAAAGCATTTAAATTAGATGTTGTGAAAGGTAAAGGTCAGGTTGAAGAATGAAGAAAACATTAGGTTTTCTGTGAGTTGAGGAGATATTAGTAATAAGGAAAGGATATTTTGGACAGAGGGAAGAGCATGATGAGCAAAAACATTAAGGTGTTTGAGGAAGTTGACTTGTGTAAAGAAGGTGAAAGAGCCCTTGGAAACCAAGATTGGACCAGTGGGTGGCTAATCCCCTCATTTGGTAATTGATCCTAGTCCAGTGTTCATTTTAAGGTTATAATTCAAATTCAGTTTATTTAGAATCCAAAATTGTTAATTAGTCATTTATAATCAAGGCCTTACCGGACTAATGTTTTAGTTTCTGTGGTATTTGATACTACACATGACGCTTTGATATACTGCTTTGTAAGGAAATTCATTCATACTTGGCCTAGAACTTTAATGTCTAAGTAGCTTGGGGGCGAGTCTAACTAAAATGAGAAGGAGGCTCTACTTTATTATATGCAATATATAATGTTAGGGCTCCAAAGAAACTAGAGTAAAAAATTAATAAACAAGACTGTCAAAATAAATGTGTTAGTAGGATATTAGGTTAGATTTTTTGTTGTTTGTAAGTTTTTATTTTAAAACTTTTATTAGTAAAATCAGTATACATAGAAATTTAACCTATTAGGATGAATTTGAAAAATTAGAAACAAATGATTAAACTTAGTTGTAGTACTTTTCCTCAAGCTAAATCACCAATTTTTGTTTGCAGAATGTGATGGTTGTTAGCTGTGTATATCCTTCTTCAGAGTAAGTAGAGAAACTTTTCTATATGTTGATCTTTAAAAATTGCATTTATTTAATATGTAATAAAACACAATTACATTTATAAATACCTGTGAATTCACCACCCATTTTTCAAAATTGAATATTACCAATAATATTATCTGTGTGGTTCTGCAATAAAGGGATTTGGATTAAGGCAATTTGTGATTTACCATAATCTTCACATTGTTGGATTTAAGTATTGTCATGGCTCTCAGGGCCCTGTGATCCTATCCTATAAATTTCCCCAGGCCATCTTTAGAAATTTAGCTACTTGATTACATTCCTCTCCAGATTTATAAGATACCGGTTAAGGGCACAGTCCTTGGCACTATTAACATTTTGTTAATGAGTGAATATCTTAGAAATTACAGGAAGTTTAGCAGTGTCCCTGGCCTCTACCCCTTGCCACTAGTATCTTCATCCCCTTCTCTTCTACCCCCCCCCCCCCCAAAAAAAAAAAAAAATCTTCAGACACTGTTAATAGCGAAGGGAGAAGGATAGAGAATTAGAAACAACACTGTCAAATGTCTTCTGGGATGCAGTGGGTGGTAGAGAGATTGTGAGGAGGAAGTTGACTCTCATTGAGAAAAGTTGATTTAACAAGGTTAAGCGCCAGCCTGTTATTTCTTCCCGTCAGAAAGTATAGTGTCAGTCATTGGTTGATTGACTGTCCCTTAACATGTTAAGGTTAAAAACATCTCTGATTTAATAGACAAAAACTGAATTTTTTTTCATATATTTCATTGAGGGGAATATATGTATATATTCCCCTCAATATGTATATATTGTAAGGAAATTCATTCATACTTGGCCTAGAACTTAATTGTCTAAGTAGCTTGGGGGCGAGGATCCTTCAGTCCATAGGCCAAGGCTCTATCCACTGAGCCAAACTGGTCAGGCAAAAAAAACCAAAACAAAACAAAAAAAACCCTGAATTTCTTTTTATAATTTTTTTAAGATTATACATGTTATGAATTAAGATAATCCCATGATTGTTATTTTTCACAGAGGTCTTATTGTTTGGGTTTGCAACAGTGATATCTTATAAAAGATGTAAATTCTTGATTCCTGTCAAAACTAGTACATGAAACCATCATAACAGTGTGTGTTTGTTTTGTCTCAAAGGAAAAATAATGCTAATAGTTTAAATCGAATGAATGGTGTTATGTTTCCTGGAAATTCACCAACTTATACTGAAAGGTAAGACTCTTGATTTTTAATATCCAAAGAAAGAATTTACATATGCTTAGTTGTTTTTTTAAAATATATATTTTTAATATATTTTATTGATTTTTTTTTTAAACAAAGAGTAGGGAAGAGGGATAGAGAGTTAGAAACATCAATGAGAGAGAAACATCGATCAGCTGCCTCCTGCACAACCCCCACTGAGGATGTGCCGGCAACCAAGGTACATGCCCTTGATCGGAATCAAACCTGGGCCCCTTGAGTTTGCAGGCTAACTAGGTAGCAGCTCTATCCACTGAGCCAAACCGATTAGAGCAATGTATTCTTAGTTTTGAATAGCAGGCTCAATATATATATATATATATTTTTTTTATTTGTCATTAGGAGGATAATAGAACATATTAGTTAATGTGGATCTGAAAGTCAGAATGACCTTGAAAGGGATGACTTTAGCAAAATGAGAAAATTATGTTCACTTGTCTTACCACAGGGCTAATATAAATGGGCCAGGAACACCTAGGCCACTTAATCGACCAAAGGTTTCTTTGTCAGTCCCCATGACAACCAATGGCTTGCCTGAGAGCACAGATGACAAAGAGTCAAACTTACAGCAAACTGAGGACAAAAGTCACAGGTGTGTTTGAGATTTATATTTAAAAACAAAAATTGTTTATAAAATGTTAACATTGGTGATTTTCAGCACTCATTGTTTACTATCCATGATTTACTAATGTTTGAGGTATACACAGGTTTTAATGTGGTTATAGGAGCTATTAGTACACACTGAAGATGGGCATAGAAAGACTAAAACTGCTAACTTATGGAGGTCCTCTTTATAATAGGCTCTTAAGAAAATTAAGTGGTCATGATGCATTTTAATTTGTTTTGAAAGTTACTAGAAAATATATTTGTAAATGAGTTGAAATTTTGTGAATAATTTCTTATATAGATCATAAAATGAAACATTTTATTTATAACTCATTAAATTTTCTGCATCACTTAAGGGAAAGAAGACTGAACGAGTGAGATTTAAAGAGCATGCCCATATGGAAGACTTGTAGTTCTATTATAGGAGAACATTTAACTTATCAAAGAATTGAACCAGAAAGGTCATATAACTTGTTGACTAGTTCCTAATGGTAAAGTTTAGGTTCTTTTGAAAATGTTCTCTTGTTTTCTTGGCCCAGGTGGTATAATTTAACTTTGACAGTGAAATATAATTAAAAAATTAATTAGATCTTTAAAATGAGAATGTAGAGGATGAAGAAAATAATTTTATTAATGACACTTTGAAAAACCTTTTACAGTAACTCTCCAACACCTGGACCAGAAAGCCCCTCAGTGAGCCCTTTGAAAACTAAGCATCCGGATGAAGATGCCCTGGAAGGGGAGGGGCTTGAGGTAAAAAGGCTTCGGTTTGACAGAGAAAGTGAAGTCAGGGAGATGGCCAGTCAGACATCTTCCAGTGAAATTCCTCCAGTTACAGTAGAAGAAACAGATGCACCATCTCCATCTCAGGATAAAGACAAAGAAAGTGGTTCTACCAGGCAGCACTGTACAGAGGAGGAGGAGGAAGAGGAGGAGGAGGAAGAAGAAGAAGGTATTTAGAAACCATCTGTAAAAGGGTGGAGTGAGGAGATCTTCAAATAAAGAATGTAACATAATGCTGATGTTGGGCTTTTATCCCACACTTAGGTAGTTGCTGCTCAATTTCAGGGGATGTGATTTTGAACTATATAATATCACAATTCATGAAACTTAACTCTTGGAGGTATTTTGAAAATAAAATTGAACTAAATATTTGCTTATTTTTAGAATCTTTTATGACATCAAGAGAAATGGTCCCTGAAAGAAAAAATCAAGAAAAAGAATCTGATGCCTTAACTGTGAATGAAGAGACTTCTGAGGAAAATAAGCAGATGGAGGAATCTGATCTGACTCAAGCTGGAAAAGATTTACATTCTGAAGGTAGTGAAAATACAGGCCCTGACAGTATTGGTTCTGATTGCCATGAAACAGAGGAATTGGTAGAATCCAGCTCTAGTGAAACTGGAGAGATTCTTTCAGAATCATCCATGGAAAATGATGATGCAGCCACAGAGGTCACAGAGGAACCAATGGAACAGGACTAATTAGATATAGTATTTTACATAGTTCTGGTTTTACACTGTATAAAACTTTTATGTAATAAAGTGGACCTTTAGTTTTACAAGAGAAGCAGGTTGTAATATAAAGTATTTTGTGGGATAAATCCTGAAAGAGTTGTAAGGACTATGAATATCAGTTCCATGGGTCCTGCTTACCGCTGACTGTTTTGGTTTGGTCAAATCAGTGGTTTGTGTGTGTAGATTTTTTTTTTTTTTTTTTTTTTTTTTTTTTTAGAATTAAAAGTTTTTTAACTGGAAAGTAATTGTAATTTTGAAAACCTTTTGGAGATTATTTAGCTTATACATACACAAAAAAAAAGGCTTTTTGTCTTGTCTTTTTCTGACAGCTCTGGCAGTTTTCATATTTTGGTCATAGTTTCAACATTTTAACGTGAATTTTAGGGTTTCATGCTGATTTCCAGATTTTATTGTTTGACTGTACAATGGAACTTTAAGTCATATAGACATACATATATATATACATATATATATACACATATATATTATTCTAAGGGGGGAAATGTTATATTTTTCTGTTTCTATAAGATGAATAAATACAGTGGATACTTTTTCTATTGGTCATGACTTCAATCTTTCAGAAGACAGTTTCTTTCTCTTCTAAGTAATTCAAATAAAATTTGGCCCTTGTGAAACCCTGGAAATCTAGAGTCTGTGGAAATACCAGGTTAAACACATTCCAAGAGATCTGTTCAAACTAAAATTATTTTCTATACCTCTGAGGTGCCTGAGAAAATGACTCCATTATTTATGAGAAAATGTGCTTTATCTTGGAAATTGTGTTCAAACATGAGCTTACTGTTTTGTAGAATGAACGCTTATAAAACTGACATGAGAATATCTCACAACTAAGCAGTTTCCTTAACTTTTTGCTTGCTTTTCTGAACATTGTGAATATTACACATTTCTTTCTAAATTATTCTAGAGTATACAGATGTCAATGATATGAAACACCACTATACTGGAAGAATTAATATATTACTTTATTAATGTACTGGAGCTAAATGACAGGAGCTTAGGGGTGCATAGAAATCACCATAATTTGTATGACATTTTGAAGTGAATTAAATATTTTTGAACATGCTTCTTCAACAGCCAGTGTTCTATTTTTCAGATCAACACAAAGCACAGTAATTACTTTAAACTCAGTATTTTCAAATTCACATGTCTGATGTCATTTAAGATGCAATTTTCCTGTCAAATTACTGGCTGCCAAATTTATACCTGTTTCCTTTGGCTGTACCTTTTGATATTTAGAATTTTTAAATTTCTGTGAAGTAGATTTTGTAGGATGTAATGTGTTCACTGCCTTTGTGACGCGGTATATAGAATTGTATAATTTCTGTGTGTAAATTGAGTGCTTGGACTTTCAATACAGTATTCATATAAAGCAATAAATACTAATGTTATGAAATATTTGAGTACATTTTTATCAAAAATAAAATCTCTTTTTTAGTTTCAGATACCTGAAGTACACAGATGAACTTATAAAACTGATGCAAACAATTTCTGACACTGTATCATATGCTTTTGGGTGATTTGAATGGCAACTACAGTTTTGCATTTTGACTACTTAAATTGCTATGACTAAAAAAACTAGAACGATTTGGCTCTGTTTATGTTTGTAGGAAAACATACTACTGACTGGCTTGACTGTCAGGTTCACAGCAGCTAGATATATTTATGAATATGTCTAGTAGTCGAAATAAGAACAATACTGATTTATTGTACTCGGAGAAAAATCATACAAATTTTTTAATGTTGCAAAAATATTAAAATGAAGCAAATTTTAAATGTAATATTCTTTTTAGTGACTTATTAACCTTATTTTGTTGAAGGGTATTTTGCCAATGAGAACAGATTTGTAAACATGTTAAGAAATCTTGAAATTTTCTTTAGCATATTTATGAAATTATTGTCAATAAACCTGTTCTTTAAGATCCTGTGAACTTTTGATATTTTTATTTTAATTGTGCCATGGACCATTTGTAAACAAATAGATTTACTTTGTTGCTTTAGGTTGAAGTTTTAACAATCATGACTTTGAGGTCTGTGATTCATTTGTAAACTTGCGAATGTTATTTTTGCAAGGGCAGATGTATATCTTTATTAAATAAAGTACAATAATGGTGAATGTACCAAAATGCTGTCACTTAACTCTATGAGAGATCTGCATTTTGATCTAAAGCTTAATTTCATATTTATAAGTTTCATATATTGATCAAAGATCAAATTTGTTGCTTTTTATACAGAAAACTGTAGAATGCTCATGAATATCTTTAGAATAGATGGACTACCTCTGTAGTTAAACTGAGGAACCTTGTTCTGCTGATTTAAGATATTGATGCCCATTTGGAAGTAAATTTCCACAGATATGCATAGGTGCACTTAGACTTTGCTTCATGAAAATGTCGGTTCTACTCATAACTGATTTAGATGTGAATTCTTTTTAAATCCTCAACTGAAGATATTTTTCCCGATGATTTTTTTAAATTTTAATTTAATTTTTAGGGGGGGATGGGAGTGGAGGAGAGAGAGAGAAAAAAACAGATATGAGATAGACACATGGATTGGTTGCCTCCATGTGCCCCAGCCAGGGCCAGGGATTGAGCTTGTATTAAATTATGTGCCCTTGACTGGGAATTTACCCTTTAGTCCATGTGTTGATGCTCTAACCACTGAGAACCCCGGCCAGGGTCAGATGAGACTATTTTTTTAAGACTAATTTTAGGCACATTTTATTAACATGCCATCAGCAAAGTCATATTAAAAGACCTAAAGAGTTGTAATGAGCTGAAACCAGTGTGGCTCAGTGGATAGAGCATCGGCCTGTGGACTAAAGGTCCCGGGTTCGATTCTGGTCAAGGGCATGTACCTTGGTTGCAGGCACATTCCCAGTAGGGGGTGTGCAGGGGGCGGCTGATCAATGTTTCTCTGCCATCAATGTTTCTATCGCTTTCCCTTCCTCTCTGAAAAAAAAAAAAAAAATCAATAAAATATATTTTTTTAAAAATAATTGTAATGATTAATTTTAATTTCAGTGATTAAAATTTACTTTTTTGGCCTGGAGCAGATTGTTTACCTATAAGACTGTAATATTCTGAACCCAGCATGCAAAAAGAATTTGAAAATCTTGCTGGACTAAAAAGTAACATTATCCTTACTACATTTTTTAAAACGTAGCTTTTCAGTTCTTATAGCAGGAGAGAAATTAGTGGGAAAGTGTTAATTATTAGGTAAATTCAATCCAGTTAGGATTTATTATTAATTGTATCTGTCAAAAGTGTGATCTGAGCACTGGTAAGGGGCCATAACCCTTCAGCATGGAAAGGCATCCATGAAATCGTGGCCAGAAGGGATGGCCTGTGGAAACATTGAGGCTCAGAGTATTTGCTTTGCTGGTGTAGATAGGCATGTATTTATGCATTTGTAAAATCAGCAACTTCACTGTTAATCCTCACATGAGGATATTAAAAAAAAAAATTTTTTTTTAGAGCAAGTGGGAGGGGGAGAGACAGTAAAAATGAATGTGAGAGAGAGTCAATGATTTGGTGCCTTCTGCACATTTCCTCGGCAGGCAAGAGGATTGAGCCTGCAACCGTGGTCCATGCCCTTGGCTGGATCCACTCATGACACTTCTGTCTGTGGGATGAGGCTCTGCCACTGAGGAAACAGGCCAGGGCAAAATTAGTGATTTTTAAAATAATAAAGTAGTTTACCTATAAAAATAGTTGGGTAGCATCTAAAACTGCTATAATGTGATTATGAGAAATGTATCTTGCAGTAAGGATGAAAATGCAACTTGTAGAAGCAAAAGAAATAAAAAGGGGGGTAGTGTTTCAAATTGTCTTCTGAACAGGAATTTTTTAAATTTTTTCATTTTGATCAAATGAAGTTCAGTTCTCTCGTGATACGTGATATTAAAATGGATGAATGCAAAAATCACTGTCATTTCATATGCAGTTATTAGGTTTACTGGATTATTGGCCTAATATGAATGCTAAGATGTTAGAATACATCTAATATTTCACATTTAAAAAATCAGTACACTTGGAGAATTTTAATTCAACTTGGAGTCTAGATTACTTTGCCAAATGTATTATTTTCATAATGCAATAAAATATAAATTAGAAGACGTGTGTGGAATATTTTTTTGCTATAGTAATTCACAAAGCCCTCCCCTGCTCTCCTCATCCTACTGACCTCAGAGTCCAGCATCCATTAGTATTCCCTGATCTACAGGGAGGAAAGGTTAATTATTCATTACTTTATTATAGCTCTGCTACTTAAGTGGTACTATTTTTGCAAAGAGGGTGCATCTGAGTTGAATGGACAGTTGTTTTTTGCTGAGCAGTTTAAAACATCTGACAATTTATATTTACTATGTCCAGTTTCTCTTGGCAGTAAGTTGTCGCTATAACATTTGTTGAGAATCATTTTAGAAATCTCACTTTCAGGCAACTACATGGTAAGATGTGTAGAATCCCCCTAAGTGGAGAGATTGTCAATTCTGGATTCTCATTTCTTTATACACTAGAGGCCCGGTGCACAAAATTCATGCACCGGGGCAGGCGGGAGGTGGGGGGTGTCCCTCAGCCCAGTGTGCACCCTTTCCAATCTGGGCCCCTAGAGGGATGTCTGACTGAATGCACAATTGGTCCTCCCTCTCACAGTCCAGGACTGCTGGCTCCCAACTGCCTCCTTGGAGGTGTGCCTGCCTTCCCGATCGCCCCTAACCGTTTCTGCCTGCCAGCTTGATTGATGTCTAACTGCTCCCCTGCTAGCCCATTTGCCCCCAGCTTTCCTCCTCTGCCAGCCTGGTCTAACTGCCCTCCCCTGCAGGGTTGATCATGTTCAACTGCACTCCCTTGCAGGCCTGGTGCCTCCCAACTGCCCTTCCCTACTTGCTTGATCACCCACAACTGCCCTCCCTTGCAGGCCTGGTCCCTCCCAATTGTCCTTCCCTGCTGGCCATCTTGTGTCCACATGGGGGCAGCTATATTGTGTGTTGGGAGTGATGGTCAATCTGCATATTACTCTTATTAGATAGGATAGAAGCCTGGTGCATGGGTGGGGGCCAGCTGGTTTGCCCTGAAGGGTGTCTTGTATCAGGGTGGGGGTTCTCTTGGGGCATAGGGCAGCTTGAGCGAGGGGCCTGTGGTGGTTTGCAGGCCGGCCACACACACCCCGTGACCCTACCGGAGGCCCTGGGATCTGGGATATATTTATCCTCTACAATTGAAACTAAATATATAAGGATATATTTACCTTCTACAATTGTAGCCTGGAGCAGAGCCAAGCCTCTTGCAGGCTCAGTGACAGCAGCTGTTTCTGTTTGGATTTGTTTACCTGGGCAGGTGGAAAGCTTGGCTTCTCTGTTGCCAGGGAAACGCCTCCTTCCTACTCTCTATGGCTGTAGCCATCTTGGTTGGGTTTATTTGCATATGCGCTCTGATTGGCTTTGTGGAGTAGAATGATGGTTAATTTGCATATTACTCTTATTAGGATATTGCACAAGAGGTGATATTCTGAAGTAAAAAAAATGCGGGTACTAGCATGTTTCTAAATGGAAATACTTTTGAGTTTTAACTCATTTAATTTCACTTATCCCCACTTTATTTACTAGATGGTATAGCTATTACAGTGTTTTGAATTAATGATAGTAAGACTAATTCTTCAATTGACTAGGTAAGAGGTCTGGCTTCTTGGCTGTCTAGAATGAAGAGTATACTGTTCCCTTGTGTTCTAACAGTCTTGAAACAACAGATATTATTTCCCCTTTAGTTTAATATTGAGCATTTGAGTATCTGGTCTTTGAACTTATTTATAAATGTCAAGATTTTTCCAAAGACAATACATTTATTAAAACGAAAATGTATTGTGAGACTACTTCTCTCTTCACGGTACCGAGTTTATCCCTGAGCTTTTTGTGTTGCTTGGTTTGTGCTGTTGGGAGCCTCAGGCAGACGATGAATCACTAAGAAATGTGCGTCCCAGTAACAAAACTTTTGTGACAAGACCAGTTACCCTGACCATAGAGAGGCACAACACACCCTCACGTGGTGGGGGACGGGTGTTTCTACGTGTGGGCTGTATCATTAGCTAGCAAAGTTTTGCTTTAGATATGGTGTAATGGTACTTAATACGTGGTCAGTGATGTTTGCATCAAGAAGTCTTTGCAGTTGAGTAGGCTTCCAAGTCTTTTAATGCTGGCTATTTGAGGGATAAGCATGGTATTTGGCTGTCTTCCTTTTAGATGGTGGGTTTTCTTCGCATTGCTCGTACTACTACAGCATGGGGGGTAAGCTTCCTTTCTGTGACTGACTATTCTCCTGTGCATTTATTTAGTAGTGCACACAACCACCCCTTCAGCCTGGCTGTGTACCTAAACTTAAGTTACTTGGATTCAGAATACAATTTCTTAACTAAATCATTAAAAATGTAGTTAATTGTCAGGCCACTACACATGA